ACACAAGCCATTTGATGTTATTTACAAGTCATTGCTAAACTATGTGAATGATGAGAAGATACCCTGAGTGACTTGAGAGGTTACGCTACGACGTATGAATTAAAACAAACTCGAAATCGCCAACTATACCTATCGTGAATGTGATGATTTGAAACTGCAAATGCTAATAAAAGACCTCCAAGCAAAGGAGGTATATCGTTAATCAACGTTGCACAATTGGGAATTGTGTTATGTCCAAGTATGTCAAGTATACAACCTTATACACTGCGAAGGAACCTTAGTTGTTGGTATTGAAGGATCACGGAACGCCTTGCTTAACCAAAGATTATTAATCACTTGAAGAAAGAAAGAGTTTGGTAACATCGACTGTTTGAAAATACATATTCGTGTGGATAATGATGTGATTATCATCTAACCGAATGAACATGACACGGTCATTATTAAGTGCGATCACAACAAAATGTTGAACGTTAAGCCTTAGAAGAATTTCGAGGACGTAATTCCTTTAAGGGGGGGAGAAATGTAACGCCCCAAAACATACCCTAGAATTATTAATAAATAAATAATAAATTAATCAAATTTGTTTTGTTTAAAATAATTTATTGTTGAACTTTGGGCCGAAATAATATGTGTTTGATATCCAATATCTTAATCTGGATAAATCTCATAGAGATAAATCCAATATGTTGACTAATTGTGTAATCTTGGTTGGGAACCTGAGTACAGACCAAAAATCAGTAATAAATGAATAATGTGTTTATGATGTAAACTTTAAAATGATTTATTGAAATAAATCATGAAAATAAATAATATGAATTTAGTATGAGCACCTTTTTAAGTAAAGGTCAAATAAATCAATTTTGACTTTGTCAAAGTCAAACACCAAAAATATGATGTCGGAAAAAATATAACAAATAAATATAAAAATTAAATCGTTGTGTAGAGTTTGATTGTGTGATCGCAACGGTGCAAACGGATTTCAATTCGGAGAAAGTTGGACCAAAAAGTGTACCCCAACTGGAATTGAAATTAGTCCCAATCAGAGACTTGGGTTTAAAATCAGTAGGAATCGCCGCTCCTCCCACTACGCTGATCGCGGATTTCCAGTGACGCACAAACATGAGTTTTTTTCACCTTCTTCCCTATAAAAGGAGACCCAATTCCCTCAATTCTTAACCAATTCTCTCCTTTCTTCCTTCTATTTCGTTCCTTGTTGAAAGAAGAGTGCAGTGGTGTTGCCAATTTGGTGTGAAGTCGCCAGAGCAAGCCGTGGTGTTCGCCAGAAGTTTCGCCGTTTTTCTGCCGGAATCATCGTTTCACTTCGAAGTAAGCCCGTAGATATATCTAATGACTAGAATGTTCGTTTAGATCGTTTTTACGTTCATAAATGGTCATTTGGTTGAGTTTTGTGTTTGACATGCTTGAAAAACCAAGAATCATAAACCTTGAATTTGATGTTAAAATCATGAATTAATGATACCAAAATGATCTATGAACCTTGGAGAACATTTCTATATAGTTTAATTGAAGTTTGGTAAGTAAAAAATGATATTTCCGAAAATGGACCGAAGGTAGAAGACGATGAACAGTAACCTGAAACTACAATGCTTGGATCAATCACACTGTCCTGATCGATCACACTGCCTTGCACAATCACACTGCCCTGATCGATCAGTGATCGATCACACTGCCCTGAACAATCACACTGCCTTGATCGATCACACTGTAATCCCCCGAAATTCTGGTCCGAAAATTTGTCCGAAAATGCTATTTTTGAACTCTAAAATCCTATTTTTGATACCAGTTGATTATAATTAGTTTAAGGATGATTCTTTACAACAAAAATGATGTTTTTAACAAAAACAATGTTATGTGATGCATGACGATAAGTTCGGGTGTTAACACTCAAAACTAGACCGCTGATTGTTATCAATTATTATGTTGATGATTCTGAGGAATGATTATTATGGATGATTATGAATGATGAACTTACTGATTAAAATGATTATTGATGATTGAACCATGAGTAAAATGAATATAATGATGATAATGAAATCGGTGTATTGTTAAGGCTATCTCGAAGATGATAAGTCGTTTTTGGGTAAGTTCTTTTTATTCTTTTTTAGGCATTTTTAATATTTTTAGAGTTTAATTCTTAGCTGTTTAGCTTAGTTCTATTATAATTTTCATTTTTACATTCTTTTTATTTTCTTTTAAAAATCGTAGCTTTTTAATCTTTTTTTTACGCTTTATAATTTTTATTTTTCCTAACCCAAAATTATCAGATATCTTATTTATTGGAGAAAAGTGCAGCAAAAGGCCAAAACAGAGTTCAAGTTCGAAAAGAAGAGGTTGAATTTGGGCCAGGCCCAAACCCAACATGATAGAAAACTAGAGCAGCCTCCTCTCTTCATTCAACACAAAAAGGAGAAACGAAATTTCCGTTTCCTTCAACGAGCGAAATCAATGAGCAGCGTAGACTAAATCAAAGACGCTCCAACGTTCCTCCTTCAATTCGATTTCGCTTCAATCGGCTCAGCAACGGTATTAATTCAACGAGACAATTCTTGCTCTATAAATTGGAAAGGCTACCACCATCAGAGTGGGGGGAAACACGAGGAACAACAACGATTGAGAGCCGCGGCTTTGGCCGCGGCGGTGGTGATGACCGGCGAGTCAGTCCGGCGTCCGACGGCAAAAGCTCCGGCCAGAGGTTTATCGGTTCCTTCAAGCTCCAATTCTTCAATTACTTCTTCTTCTTCAATAATTGGTAACCCTATATGTTATTTCTTCAATTTCTTCTCCAATTTCTTTGTAAAAGTGTTGTTTCAATTCAAATTTACATTTTTTTCCCTTGTTTGTGTTAATTTCGAAAATTCCAAAATGGTTGGTGTTCTTTTATGGGTTTTTTATGTTATATTAAATCATTTATGAATGAAAATTGATTCTTACTAGTTTCTTCAATTTTTGCGCAAATTGTTGTTAAATCGGTTGAATTATAAATTTGATTTCATAAGTAGGTTGGTATGTCGAATTCGGTTATCATTGAGCCAAAATTTCACCATTTTTTGGCTTTGGGGTGTGATGGAATAAATCAAAATGGATCTCTAAACTATCTGCGCTTCTTTAATTAATGAAGTAGCAGTTAGTCAAGCAATGCAACTTTCGATGTTGAGCCGGGGGTCTCTTTGGAAACAGCCTCTCTACTTTCAAGTAGGGGCAAGGTCTGCATACACACACCCTCCCCAGACCCTACTCTTGTGGGATTTAACTGGGTTATTGTTGTTGTTACGTGAATCTTTTTTGTGACTTGTGTTTTGTAAAATTTTAAGGTAAATGATCTTCTTAGGCACATAAGTCGACCGTTTTCCTTAAGATTCGTTATAGAGTGATTGTTTATGTCTTGGTGTTTTTGTTTGTTATTTTCATAAAAAATTGGGATTGTTTAAGCGCAATAAACAACTCTTGATTTAATGAAAATATGTAATGTTTTTCTTATGTGAATAGATTACAATTCTTATGCTTGAGTAGTTCAAGGAGACCTGCAAAATATTTTCATCATTAGACGTTAAAGTTTATTAAAGTGTATCAAATGTTCTTCATGAATACTTTGTGCATGGGAGTTAGAATGAAAGAAAGATTCGCTCTTTTATAAACTTTTTCATCTTTTAGAATCATTATTTGAGAGCTTGAGGTGAGTGCGGGTTCAAAGTAACCAAAAGGCCTTTGAATCTTTGACTCCAGGCCTTATAGAGAGTTGACGATCCTCTATATGTGGTCAAGGATATGAATCAACTCGAGCCTTTGAATTCTTTTCTATTCTTAAGTGCGTAAGTTACGTAATATATTGTCTAAGTGTCTATTATACGTGTAATGTTCAAGTGTTTGTTCTCTTTTTCAGTTTGTTTTGGGTTCTTGGCGGTGTTTTTTTGGGTTACCTTAGTTGGAGAAGTTGATTATCTTTTGAGCTTGTTTTTCCCATTTTTATTAGAAAAATCCAAAAAAAAAAAAGAAAATGTAAAGAACCAAAAAATATTTACTTTTTATTCAAACCCCCCCCCCTTTGTGTTTTAAGTTATAAATATAAGTTTTTATATATTTTTTAGTATATCTTAAGTATATGTTTTATGTTTATAAGTTATATTATAAGTTCTTTGTTTATATAAGTTATATTTATATGTTTTTAGTTATAAGTTTTATTATAAGTTTTATAAGTTCTTATCATATGTGTAGTTTTTTTTATTTTATTTCGTGACAATGTGTGTGAATGCTTAAATGATTTCAAAAGTACAAACTTTCTCCGTGGGATCGACCCTTACTTGCCCTAGCTATAGTTTTTATTTGATTATATTTGGGGGTTAGTTAAGGATATTTTATAAATTTATAATTTGTTTTGGACCACACGACGGGTCTCCAACAGAAGACCTCTAAGATAGACCTCAAATTAGATTGGGCCTTGCGGGTATAAATATGTATATTCAGTGGCCTTGGGTAAAAACGTACGTACGGGATCCATAAACCAAACTAGAGGAACTCGTTTGAGGATACCACCCAACCCGACAGTTAGTATTCTACTATTCGGTTTTCTGAATTGGTACCTTAAGTGAAGGCTAGTTTAAGAGTTTGTAAATTAACCGGAATATATGTACCTTAAACTAATGACCTAGCTTAAGAGTTGGATAGAAGTACCTTGAACTAGAATTAGTTTAAGAGTTGGTAAAACCTCAAAAAGATTGGCCTTAGACTAAGCATAGTCTAAGAATATTATTGAATATTGAATATTGAATATGAATGTTGATTATTGAATATCATGAGTGATTTATATATTGTGTGCATGATATCAAATGTTTGTTTGTGAATTGAGATTCAATTTATGTGGATGTTCGACGCTTTAGATATGCTTACTCAGCTTCACCGCTGAGCGTGTAGTGTGTTTTATTTGCTACACGCAGGTAGGCAGAATAAGTGATTGACATGTTCCTGGCAGCAGAAGGGGGCGAGGTGGTTGTGGTGGATACATGATCTAAAATCTTTAAATTATATTGTTATGAGACATGATCTAAATTGCTTCCGCATTTTATTTAAACACTTCGTATTTCTCTACTGTTATGTATGAGATATTATTTATAATGAGTAAAAATGTTTGAAATGTTTTAAATTATTATGATTACCAAATAAATACTTTAGTCCGAAAGGGGCAGCAGACCTGGACGGATTAGGGTGTTACAGACTATTTTATGTACATAATTGGACTTACTTAGATCGAACAAAATTTTTTATAGACATTGTTTATGAGTTTGGAGGGGTGGACTGCATGGCCATTCAAGGATATTACAAATTTCATTGTAGGGGTTTGTGGGGGGCAACCCCTGGCGGGGTCTGAGGGGTATAGTAAATGAGATAAATATGAAACAACCAGAAGAGTTCACTTTGCCCAAAAAAGAACATATGATGAGTAAGTTAGAAAATTCATTGTAGGGTTTAAAGCGGACACATAAGCAATGTCATTAAAAATTTGATGAAGTTGTATTGTCACATAGCTTCTTTTTAAAATATAGCAAATTTGACACTTCTAGTAAATGAGTGATAATACTTGATGACACATTCATCTTTGGGATCTAGCAATGTCAAGTTAATAGAACCAAAGAGTTCTTGTCATCTGGTATCTCCATAAAGGATCTAGGGGAGGCAGAACTCATCACACACAGTAGGATAAAGCGTGCAAAGAATGAGATATCTATAGCATAGAAAATTATTGCATGGTCTCAAGGTCCATTTTCATTTTATGGACTTTATTGAATTGATATCATAAAATTAAAGAATTAGACCTTTTACAAAAAAAGAAAAGATGCTCTTACTAGCTCATGAAAAGTGTGGGAAGGTCCACATTTCACATGTGGACCATTGGACTATGGAAGAAAAACTCCTGTTACATAGTCTTATTACATTGAGAGAGTATTAAAAAATTCATTTGTGATAATTGTTCTCTAGTCAGCACCCATTTGGATCCTAGTATTAATTTCTTGACTAACGAGGGAAAGATAGTGTATCACATCGAATACTCAAGGGCTATTTGCTGCTTAGTGTATGCCATGATAAGAAAAGGACCTAGCACAGAATTTGTTGTTATAAAGATTAATAGGTACACTAGCAACCCATGTACACACCATTGGTAAGGTTTGAGTAGAGTATTCAAACACTTGAGGAGAATCATGGACTATGGTTTTGTATACTCTAGCAATCCTTCAGTTCTAAAGGGATTTTTCGATACAAGTTGGATAACGAATAAGGAAGATTATTCCTCCACCAGTGGATGGATATTTTTACTTGGATGGGGAGCTCTCTCATGGGCTTCAAATAAGCAAACTTGCATCACTACGTCAACAATGGAATCTAAGTTTGTTGGTTTAGTTGTAGCCTAGAAAGAGGTTGAGTGGCTAACAAGCTTGGTGTGTGAAATTTCGTTGTGGCCTAAATCGATATAGAGAAAATTCAATAATTTTAAAAAGTTGTGAGATTTTTATCTTTAAAAGTGTAAAGTTTATATTATTTAGAAGCCGAAGTGTATATTTTCAATTCACAATAATACAAGTCTTTTACAATTTTTTTTGTAAAAAGTATTTTTGTGTAAAAAAATCCAAAGTTTTGATGTATGTAAACAAAGAAAAAATTGATCCCAATATCTTTTGTAAATATCAAATAATGTAAAAAGTTTTGTTTAGAAATTTGTAAAAAGATATGGTCAAAAGTTTTTCCTAAAATCTTTTGAAAATAATTAATTGATTGAAAATTTATTTGGTGTTGTACTCTATTGCTTTGAAGGCAAGCAATGCTTAAGTATGAAAATTCGATAAGTTCATTTTGTATGCACTTACGTGCTCCGCATTTGATATATTATTATCCAATTTTGGAACAATGAAGAACAATTATCATTTTTTATATAAGTTTTTTTAATAAAATGATAAAAATGCACAAAAGTAAGATCTCTATTTTGTAAATAGTAAAAGTTGTGTGAAAAGTAGAACAAAACTCTCAAAAATGAAGCATTGACGAGACTATGAGCCAAACAAATTGAAAAGGGAGAAGTAAAAAAAATGGTGGAACCAAATGAAGTCTTATCTTGAGTTGGTGCAGAAGAAAAAATTGCTTAGAAAAATATGGTGAACAAATCCATGCAAGAAGTAGTATACTTCAAAATTTCAAAAAAAATTTGGGATTAGAAAACTTCAAAAACTTAAAAAAATGAGATGTAAGCCGGAACAACATTTAGAAATTCGTATTGCCCAAACAGTTTAAAATATGAAGTCGCAATAGAAAGGAAATTTGTTTAGAAAAAAAAATTGAGTATTGAAAATTTTTGAAAAACAATTTTCGAAGTCAGTCATCCCAAGACCCAGTCTGAATGGAGTGACACAGGGAGTAATGTCATCATGTGAAAACCAGCCTGGCCGAGCATCTGGAGTTAATTATCGTATAAACGGAGGGCTTGGGCCCTCATTTTTTTGCCACTCAAACTTGGGTCTCGAAAGGCCTAGCACATCTTTAATTTCTAGCCCCCATTCTCAGTTATATTCCAATATTTTCGTATAATATTTTCTATTTTAGTTGTCTTAAAATAGCTTCAGCTTTTCTCTCATTTGCAAGCTTACATTTCAGCATTTATAATAAAATACCCTTTTTAATTATGCATTATTGGTATAGTATGTGCTCGTACCTAGATTAGGGTTCGGGATAAATTTGGGGATATACTTTGAACCTCACTCGAGTAACCCGCAAAAGAAAGGTTTTTTCAAAATTATGTATTCTAATAGTCTAATATGATACAAATAACGTTATAATATTATTTACTCCCTTCTTCCATAAAAGAACTTTCTAATTTGACTTTTTTGGATAAATTTTGACCATAAATTATGGAAAAAATATACTCCCTCCGTTCCATAAAAGCCCCTTTCGTTTTTTTCCAATTCCCTGAAACACTTCAATTTTCTATTAAAAAACCACTTTTATCCTTACTTTTTCATACCCTACTTATCACATCACACTTTTTCACTAATAATCAAACTATCACATCTTACTTTTACCTATCACATCAGGGGCAAAATTAGAAAGTCAATCAAAATTACACTTTTCTTATTTTGGCTCAAAGTCAAAATAGGAACTGTTTAAAGGAACGGAAGGAGTATTAAATTGTCATATAAATTTAACATTAATAGATTAATTTCGAAACTTAGTTTTGAAACATTATAGTTTTATAATCTATATCTATATAGAAATAGAGATATTAATGACTAAAGTATTGTATTGGAAAAAAATGAAAAGTCAATTTTTATGGACGGTGGAGTATTTCTTATAATGCATTTTGAGCGTATAAACTTTGTTAGCCTTAGTATGCTTAATCTCTTGTTTTGATGTTAACAAATAATTTAATTGAGCTAATGTTTGTTCAATTGTGTAGAAACATCAAAATCCACTAAAACGCGTTGCTTGCGTCAATACGTTCACTCACATAGGACTAGCATAGAATAGCTCAGAGTAATCTATTGTTAAAGATATTTGGATCATAAATATCTAAAGTCAAGCTCAATTTTTCACACACACAAAAAGATTTTTTTGGGTATTTAGTTTTATAAAATAAATTTGGTAAACATTTTTGATAATTATTTTTTCATATTTTCGAAAAAATAATTAAAAAAAGTTATAGCTCTTCTCAATACGAGATCGCCGGTTTTTGAATTACTCAAATCCTATAAGTATTCAACAACTTATGAGCATTTTACCAAATTAAGTTTTTGTTCCGCGCGCCGGGTAAACGACAATCCATATGTTGAACCGTTCCCCAAGAACGGTCGACCGTTTGACTGACCGTTAGGGAAAAATTACGCAATGGATTAACAACAATCCACTGGTTGAATCGTTTCTCCAGAACGACCGACTGTTTTACTAACCATGGCTGGAATCTTATGTTACCACGAATGTCGACCGTTTGCTACAAACAATCAAGGTGATGGACCATTCGTGTACCAATTTCTTTGTTTCTGCACCCCAACGCTTCGATTCTTTTAATTTTTGTATTAGGAGTTAATTATTAGTGTATATATAAAATCTATTTTTTAAAAACTAAATAACTCCTAATACATCCCTATAAATACCCAAACCATTTCAATGTTTTAAACATCAAGCTTTGCATAAATTTCTTCCTTCTTCTATATTTTATATTCATAAAATCCCTGATTTTATATTAGGCTATTAAAAGCCATTTTTCTTTCTTGAACACACATTGAGCTCGATCCACAGAGATATACACTCATATCATCTATAAGTGAGTTGTAACTGATAGTGTATAGTTATTATCACACTGATCCGACCTTTGTATTTTATATTCTTGATGCGGTATTGGTGTATATTATCCAACTCCATATTCATTATAATCGATCGAAGATATCTGTTCTAAAATCTTCATTGAAGAACGGTTGGAGATGCTCGTTGTGAAATCTCTGAAAGCCAAAGATTTATCTGCCAAAACTAGCTTCGTTGTGACAATCGTGTTGAGACGGTCAAGGGGTTCTAGTGGATTGGAAATCCTTAAGGAGGAGCCTTATGGTACTGGAGTAGGGAGTTTTCAAACCAGTATAAAATGCGATGCACTTACTTTACGCTTTTCTTTATTGTGTTTATTGCTCCAAATTTATTTTAACGCTATTATTTTTCTAAAACGCACCGTTACTTTTGAATAAACAAAAAGAGTTTTTAATTTTATCTAAACGCCTTATTCACCCCCTTCTCTAATGCGTGGGCACATAGGCTAACAAACATTTATTTCTAAACATGTTTTAAATAATATCGTATTTTATTATCCCACTTTTTTCATGAATTGTAGATATTTAGATTATTTTCATTATTCAGAATACTGTTCTTTATATCTAAGAATTACATAAATATAAAAAAACTCATAAATTTAAGATGCAGTATATATGCTCTTATGTCTTTTTATAATTGGTACTATGAAATTTAAGTATTCAAAAAATAAAGCTCTTAAATCTTTGGGTTGACTCGAATCCAATGATCATGGGTCATAAATATATACTCCCTCCGTCCCAAAAAGTATTTCCTGTTTTATTTTTTGCGCATCACATAAAACACTTCTACCGACATCTAAAATGCCTAAAATTTACAACATTTCTTCTTTATTGTGTGTAGAAGTTATTTTGAAAGTGTTTTTGGCATTTAAGGCGGGATAGAAGTGTTTTATGAGATGCGCAAAAAATGAAACAGGAAAGACTTTTTGGGACGGAGAGAGTAGTTAAAAACCCGAACTTTCCCAAGCTTATTGTAACCTGAATCCAACGTGACCACTCTAGCTCTCTAGCTATTTGCCAGCTTTAGTAATAATGCAACAATAAATACGTAAAAGATATGTGGGATCGGCTGTTAAGAAACAAATTTTAGCATTTTGAAAAGGTTATTCAATTACTCCCTCTATCTATTAATTTATTTCTCGCTTTCCTTTTTGGATTATCCAAAAATTTCTTTCTCGTTTCCTATTTTGGCAATTTTTTAATGAATGTGTCAGTATACCCATACTTTTTCTTTACACTATTCATTTTATGTCATCACATCAGGGCAAAAAATGGAATGTCTTTAGACTTTTTAATTTTTCTTAATATTCGTGCTAAGTCAAACGGGGAAAATTTTTTTGGACGGAGTACAAAATTTTTTTCAAAATTAATCTGTACTATTAAAAAATATGTAAGATACTTTTAATTTTAAAAAATACTATTTCTAGCAAGGCCTTCATTTTTTTGCTTTACATTGGTTTAGAACAACAACGCGTGAGTTTAGGGGATACCTTTAATTATTCACAAAAAGTAAGGTAAAAATGTTAAAAAAAACACACTTCAATCAAAATCGTGCTTATCAATTCGTTTGTTTGGTTATTATTGCAGGAATGGATCACATTCCATTAAGGACACCGACATTCATTATCATGTTTTTCATCAGGTGACATGCATCCTCTTCATCTTAGATATGATTACGAAAAATTAAACAATGCTCATTAAGAATAAAATAGATATTCAAAATGTATGCCAAGGACAATAATGATGGTATGCCATGTAATTCTTTACTTCTTTTCTTTAATTTTGATTTATATTATTGTACGAAGTACCATACAAGGGATCGAACAAAAATTGGTTTGAAGAGGTAAACAAAAATCTGAGATATTTTTGCAACGTGCATGACAATGTTCAAATTTCCATTGGCATATGCGGGCTCTAAGAATCAGAAAGAATTAGATGAAAAGGAAGGAGAAGAGGCAAACGATGAACCCGCATCACCAACACAGAACTTTGTAACTTGCATACACATAGCAAAGATTGCAGAGTTGCTCCGCACCATCACTGTAACATGGTCAAAAACCTTGATTAGCCACACCCTGTTCATCATTGTAGAAAACCCTTCTGAAGATAACCACTACACATGCAAGATTGACCTTAAAACTTGGAAATTTTGGGGTAAAAAGGGCCTCAAGTCCTTCAACGTTGATCAAGTGCGTGTCGATGTCTTTTGGGACTTTAGAGCTGCAAAGTTCTTGAGCAGTCCTGAACCAGTTTCTGACTACTATGTTGCATTATCCGCTAGAGGGGAGGTGGTGATATTGCTAGGAGACAAGAAGAATGAGGCCTCTAAAAGAAGCAAGGCGAGGCCATCTTTGGTTGATGCAGTATTGGTGCACAAGAAAGAAAGTGTGCATGCAAAGAGATGCTTTTGCACTAGAACAATGTTGGGGATGGGTAAAGGGGAGCATGACATAATCAGAGAATCAAATCTTTCTGGAGTCGACCCTGAAATGTGGATTAGCGTGGATGGGATTGAGTCGATTCGAGTAGTGAATCTAAACTGGAGATTTACGGGGAATGAAACAATGATGGTCGATAATGTGCCCATAGATGTTTTCTGGGATGTTCGTGACTGGGTGTTTAGTGATAATAACCTTGACACCGCAGCAGGACCAGGTATTTTCATATTCAAACAAGAAAGCGTTGTTGGAGAAGAAGAAGTAGAAGCCATTAATAGTGGTTCATATGGCCAATTATGTGAATCTACTGAATTTTGCCATGTCTTTTATGCTTGGAAAATTAAATGAGAAACAAAAAATATTCCTGGGTTTATTCACTTTTTGTACGTCTTGAATGACCTTACCTTTATTTACTATTTAGAATCCATCTATATGTATAATGTGCAAGAACTCATTTCCATTCATGGACATGGAGATCAGAAATGTTTCAATACTTGTTCCAGATACTCTGCAATTTTCAAGACTGAGGAAATATACTTTTAACAATAATCAGGCCGTTTAGTAAAAAAAAGGGTAAAGGCTAAAATAGGAGCAGGGGCAGCCTTGGGCCTGTGCAGGATGTTCAACCGCACGGGCCCAAAAAAGACCAGGGCCCAATTATTTTTTAGAGATAGTAGTATACTAGTATGTAATTATATGCCCAAAATGGGGGAAAAATTTATGGAGAAAACTCTTCACATCTACGCCTCGCCTCACATCGCCGGAAAGAGAACCGGAAGAAGTGAAGAACGAAGGTGGAAGGTCTAAGATTTGCGCCGCGCCGTCGCCTCACATCTACGCCGTCCAGCAGTTCTCCATCCGCCAATTACACTTTAGTCTTCAGGTATGATTGTATGAACATATATATATGATTTATTTTAATTTATTGATTTTAATTATCAAAACCTTAATTTTATTTTTTTTAGTTTTTAAATGTGCGATCTATGTTTTCATCTTCTATAGTTGAATACTTTTATGAAATTTGATTTTTAATTACAATGATTAATAAATTATAATTTGATAAAAATATTCAAATGATTAAGCACTTTAGCAATTTAGCCAATTTGAGATTTTAGGATTCTCTAAAAAAAATCTATTTGTCACTGCCTAGGTTATTTTTTATCATAATATAAATAAACCTACTACATGGTTCTCATAATATTTTTATACTACACTTGTAGAATGGTTCCTAGAATATGGGTCTCAGGCTATGAAAAACGTAAAAAGAAAAAGAGACTTGAAAAACTTACAATGTCCCAGAGAGAATGTCTCTTTTTATGTGCAAAGAGAATGTCTCTTTTTATGTAAACTGGTAGTGATGTTTTCTTCCTCATTATAAAAAATTCAATAATTAGTATGAAACTTCTTTAAATTTAACTTTTATCATATATGATAGTCAATAGAGGCCAACTTTTTGTTTTCGCACAGGGCCTATTTTTTCTTTGGACCGGCCCTGAATAGGAGTAAAATAAACAAAAACACAACCTTCATGTTTTCATCTGGAAAGTATTACCTACAAATCAATAATGTCACACTAAAGTCGTACTTCGTATATTTTTCAGATAAAAGTATGACACTCCTATTTTGGAAATAAATACTACGGAGTATTTTTTTTACTTTTATTTTGAGTGAGTCTTTAAACATGAATATATCGACATAAACTTATGTTTCTCTTTGTTTTTATTGTAATCAATAGTTTTCGTTGTGTTAAAAAAAAGGTTTTAAATATTATAAGAGAATAACATTTTATATATTCATTATAGAGTTTTGACTTTAGTTTTATTTAAAAATTATATTGTGATCTTTGTGTTTGTTTAAAGAGTATCTCACATCGGAACTTGAAAAGAAAATAAACCGGCATATAAGCCCTTGAATTAAACTAACTAATTGATTGAATTCAATCTTTTAATGTGGTTCAACTCAAGTGTCTTATTACCCAATCCAGTTGTCCATACCCATCCCAAATTCTATCATGGTATCGGAGCAGGTTTTGGCCCACCTCGTTTGTCAAGGTGTCCGTCTAGACGTTCATTCCTAGCGGCCCGTTAGTCTTTAGCCCAGTTGTCTGTATGAAGTATGTACCCAACGGCCTGTGGCCCGTTTAACCCGATTGCACGTCTAGAAGTCTATACCCAGCGGCTCGTGGTCCTTTAGGTGTTGGCGCTCAAAAAAATGAAGGGGAAGGGAGTCCATTTGCAAGTGGTCAACCGGTTAGATTCAAAATGGCTCGGTTGTCCACTTGAGGGGGAGTGTTAAAAGAGTATCCCCCATCGGAACTTGAAAAGAAAATAAACCGGCATATAAGCCCTTGAGTTAAACTAACTAATCGATTGAATTCAATTTTTTAATGTGGTTCAACCCAATTTTCTTATTACCCAATCCAGTTGTCCATACCCATTCCAAATTCTATGAGTGTTTATATTTTAATTTGTGTTGGAAAATGTTATTTGTAGCTCGTTCCTTTTATAGTTTTATTTGTTTTTCTCATGTTTTGAGACTTGATTATCACAAATTTATTGTTATTAATTCCCAATTTGGTGCAACTTAGGTTAGCTAGGTTATTATGCAAGAATAAACTACATAGTGTTGATGGAATATAATGGCCATTTAGAGCATGTTCACTAGGGTCAGAAAAATAGAGTTGGATGTTAAAAGGAGCTAGGACAAAAATGGAAAATATTTGAAGAAAAGAGAAAAAACTAGATCAAATAAAATAAAGTTCAACTCTAGTATTATTCTTATTATTAAATTTATTATTATTATTATTTATGTATATAAATTTAGTTTATAAATGAAGTACACTATAAGAATTTGTTGAATATGCGATAACGAATTTCCTTCACAAATTTAAGAAAACTATAACAGATTCCTTAATTACGACGGCACTACGACAACAGTGAGCCATTGCAAATCCGTTGTGGCTAGGTCGCTTTCTGCTACCGAATGTTTCCCCCTTCGAAAGCATGTGACGGACTTGCGACCGCGCAACAAATACCAAAAACTGTTCTACTCTGCGACAAACACAATCTACCCGTTGTAGATTTGCGACATAAACTACGACAGGGTTGTATAAAGCTACGGTTATGGGCATCTACAACGGAATGTGATTGTCGTCACAGATCCGTCGCATAATGCAAAATAATAGACCCCAGAATCTGGTTTTCATGTGATATGCAGATTTTGTATAAACAGATACCATTCACATAACATGGTACAACCACAAACAAGTTTTAAATATAAACGTTAAACAAATTCCACATTGTAATGTAGAACAAGTACAAATATTTAACTTAATTTAATATATAGATAAAAACCGTTAAAGCCAAAGGTTCTAATTCAAACACTTAAACGAACTACCTCTGCTTTCCTTGATTCCCCCGTTCCATCATCGCCTCAAGGATGATTCTTATTACCATACAATTTCAATGGCGCGAATAGCTCTCTGTTTAGGGCCTCAAATTTGTGACATTTTGATTTTCTCCCTCACAAATCCTTGGTAAAACATGTAAATCCATCGCAAATAGTGATATCGTTTTCCAAATTTTTAAAACCATCACAGATCAATCGCAAATATGCGACAAACTTAGGTCCGTAGTAGATTTTCGTTGGAGTTTTGGCAGATTCTTGTAGTGGTAATATTTCAATTTGTCTATTTTTTCATTTCATTATTTTTGTGATTCAGACTCATTATTATTCTTTCTTAAACCTTTTAATATAAACAATACAAATTTTTCCTTATTAATTAACATGACACTAACCTATTTTTTTAAAAAAACATTATGGATAAAAGAGCAATTTATATTAATCTAAATTGATCTAGGGAAAGCATCACTATTTTAATTTAAAAATAAAAGTAATAATTATAGCACTACATTATGAAAAAGAAAAAATTGTGCAATATATGTGAAAAAACAAATTCATATAATAAATAATATAATAATAATTAAAATATAACTAATAAAAAAGTAATAATAATAATAACATGAAAGTACATCACCTTTAGAGTCATCGTATGGACAAACTAGAAAGAGTTTAAAGAAAATGGGTATAGTAGAAAAAAACTGTAAGAAGTTTAAAGAAACAGGAAGTGCAAAAAGCTAGAAGGAACCAGAAGGAATTGGAAAAAAATTAGAAGAAACTTTAAATAACTGAAAAGAAATGCATAAAACTAGAAAGAGTTGAAAAAATTAGATGGAACTGGAAATTAAATACCGGAAGCTTAGAGGGTTTGCCGAAAAGAGCTCGCTTATATATATATATATATATATATATATATATATATATATATATATATATATATATATATATATATATATATATATATATATATATATATATATATATATATATATATATATATATATATATATATATATATATATATATATATATGTATGTATGTATGTATATATATATATATATAACCCGAAAAAGAAACCACTAATTAGTAGGGTAAGGTTCAGGCCATCCTTACCGAGTAGATTAAAGCGGGGAATGTACAAAAAGCGTTTGGGCCAACCCGACAACAATGTTAGGAAAGGCCCAAGAAGGAAAAAAGCCAATTACATTCAAAGGAAAAAATACATCAGGCAACGCTAATCAATCTGCTTCTTCATTGGGAAACGTGTGTGATCATCTAGAGAGGTAAGGTTTGAGATTTAGAGCTTGAATATCCTCGTCTGTGGCTATCTTCTGCACCTTTTTATTTGACCAGTACCAGTGCTGCACTAATTTTTGAATCTCTATGATAATTCCCATATTTGTGATGTTGCGTTCTTCATAAATTCTTTGGTTATAAGCCTTCTAGAGATTCCATATGATGCATCCAGGTAAGATGAGCTTGAGTAGACCTCTAATAGTGTATTTGTTGTAATTCTCCCACCATTGAAGCATATAGTTGCTTAGGTCTGTGCCCTGAGACCAGTTAGGCTCCCCTACATAATCTGCAAAAGCCTTCCAAATTTGTTGAGAAAGGATACAAGTAAGTAGGATGTGTTGATCAGTCACTTCCTCTTTTGCGCAGAAGGGGCATTTGCTAGGCAGATTATAAGATAGTTTCCTTAGAATATTAGGAAAGGGAAGGAAATGATGTATAGCTTTCCAGGTAAACAACTTGATCTTGGGGATTTGGAATTTGTTACAGATAAGAGTGTTCATTCGAGTACTGATATCTCTATCCCTTACAGCCCAATATGTCTCTTTGAAAGTAAATTTCCCATTAATCCACTTGGGAGTGGAACTGATCATGGATGTGTTTTGTAGGCCAATTGTTGAAATTCTACAGATTCTTTTCCAGGAGGTAGAGTCATACAATTTGGTCTCAAATAATCCATCCCTGTAGTATTTATCCTTCACAAAATTAGACCATAAGGAATTGGCATTAATCACCTTCCACCATAACTTCAAAGCACAAGCCTTCTGTAAGTCCTCTAAGCTTCTCAACCCTAGTCCTCCTTCCCCTGTAGGCTTGCAGAGAGCAGTCCATTTGGCCCAGTGATGTTTACTCTTTCCCAATTTAGTACCCCAAAAGAAGTTGGCTAGTTTGCCCTGGATAATATTAATGATAGATTTGGGGACATCTTGCACACATAGGGTATGTAAAGGAATAGCACTGAGCACATGTTTGATGAGAATTAATCTGCTCATAGGATTGAGCTCTTTACTGTACCAACTGTTAAGATAGGCATCAAAGTGATTTAGGATGTGTTCACAGTGAATTCTCTTAAGCTTGCCAGAGGTAATAGTAGATCCTAAATATTTAAAAGGGGGGCTTCCAACCATAAAACCAAGAGCTTTCTTCAATTTGATCTTATAAGTCCAGTGACAGCTTTTCTTGCAGAAGACCTTGCTTTTCTTGTTATTGATTTCCTACCCAGAAGCTCTAAGGTAGTTAAGGAGGATGTGTTTAAATCTCAAAATATTCCTAAGTCACCCTTGAGGAATACTATGAGATCATCTGCAAAAGCAAGATGAGAAACCACCTGACTCCTCCCTGCCTTGTACGAATCTAGAAAACCAGAAGCAATAGCATGGTTAAGACTCCTAGAGAAACCTTCTGACCCAATGATGAAAAGAAGAGGGGAAAGTGGATCCCCCTGTTTAACTCTCCTCTTAATTTTAAAAAATCCATTGGGGCTTCCATTAATGAGCACTGAAATGTGTGTAGCCTCAAGATTTTGTAAAAGAAGAGCTATGCAGTGATCATTGAAGCCAAAGGATTTGAGAACAGCTTTTAGATAAGACCAAGAAATCTTATCAAAAGCTTTGGCCATGTCCAATTTGACCATGACATTTCCCCCCCTCACCTTAGATTCCAGCCTGTGCATAAGTTCATTGGTTAGAAAGATATGTTCCTCAATTCCCTTCCCTTTTTGAAATCCTGCCTGCTCAGGTGAGATTATCTTGTCTAACAGAGGGGAAAGTCTGTTAGACAGGATTCTTGAGATAATCTTGCTAAAAAAGGTAGAGAGGGCTATAGGCCTATAATCTCCAATCACCTTGGCCCCTTCTTGTTTAGGAATGAGGATTATATAGGTGCTGCCAAAAGCCATAGGAATAGGTTGTCCTAGGAAGAAATCTTGTACTGCACTGATAAGATCTTCTTTAATAATGTCCCAAAATTTCCTAAAGAAATCACCATTATAGCCATCTGGACCAGCAGAACTATTAGGATTTAGGTGCCATATTGCAGCCTTTATTTCTTCTTCCTGAGAACTGTTAGGATTTAGGTGCCATAGTTGGAATATAGGTAAGGATGGGTTCCATGATACCCATATATTCTTCAGAAAAATTACTTTCATAGTGATTGACAATAAAACTGATAATGTCTTTAGGATCCCCATCCTCCAACTCTCTGCCCTCTTGATTCCTTATGAGTCTGATGCTGGCCTTTCTTCTTTTACCTTTAACATAGGAGTGGAAAAATTTGGTTGAGGCATCTCCACTAGCAATCCATTTGACATTGGCCTTTTGGGCCCAGTAAGTTTCTTCAATTTTGCAAGCTCTCAATAGATTAGCATTTGCCAAGTTGAATGCCTCTCTATTGGCTATATTATCCTCTGTTTCATAACTTTCTTGAGCTTGAAGGACTGCTTGTTCAGCTTCTTGGACTTTGGTGAAAATATTACCAAAGTGAACATGATTCCATTCCCTAATACTGTTCTTCAAGTTTTTGAGTTTTGTGGCCAGACCTCTCATACCCCTTCCATTGGCATTAGAATTCCAAGCTTCCTTGACCATTCCATAAAAGCTCTCATTAAGAGCCCAAGCATTGATATATCTGAAAGGTCTGGGGCCTGAGAACTGGTAGTTGATGCAGTCCAACAGGAGAGGTTTGTGGTCAGAGGAGGTTCTGCTAAGATCATAGAGGTAAATATCAGAGTATTGGTCTAGAGAGCCTTGATTGATCAATACTCTGTCAAGTCTGCGAAGAACTCTCCCCTTAGTCCTATTGCCCATCCAAGTGAATATATTGCCCTTAAGGCAGGGGTCCAATAAATTTCAATTTTGAATACACTCCCTAAAGTCTTCAATGCTTTGAAGACAGGGAGCCACATGGCCTTGATGTTCAGTAAGAGAGGTGACAGTGTTAAAATCCCCTCCCACAATCCAAGGTTGAGTCCCTGGGTCATGTTCCACCATTGTGTCCCAAAGGAGAAGCCTCACAGCTCTGTTATGTTTTCCATAAACTGAACTAATATACAATGGTTGACCAGAAATAAGGAAAAGACAGGTAGTGATTTGATCTCCCTCTTGGAGTTGTTGGAGATTTAAAGTATTGCTGTCCCAGAAAATCCAGCATTTATTGTATTGGGTAGAGAAACCATGAGAGTAACCCAATTTAAGTTTATAGAAATCCAGTCTATTAGCACCAACAATAGGTTCAAAAATAGCCAAAAAGGAAAATTTGTGAGTCTTTTTGAATAGGAGAAGTCTGTTAAGGGATGACTTAATCCCACAGATATTCCAGAAGAGAGCTTTCATTGGGAAACCTTGGATGAAGTACTCTTATTAGCAGATCTCAATCTAGATTTTATATTAGAACTGCTGAATGATTCCATTTCTATCTTTTCTTTCATAGGGTTTGAATCCAAAGCAGACTCTGGAAGTGAAGGAATAATATCCTGTATAATACCAAGGTCCTCACACTCTGAATCATCATCTGATTCACATTGTTCTAATTGGAGAGGGGAGAACCTTGACTCTTCAATAACAGGTAGTGGATTCCAGAGTACCAATGCTATGCTATTTTCCACATTAGAGTTGCAATAAAGGACAGTTGCTGAGCATGGGCCATCTGCTGGAGAGGGTTTGTCTTGTAGTTGCTTGGGTATATCCTTATTGGAGCTTTCCCCAGGGCCCGAAGGGATTATCTTTCTCCAAACTGTGCCAGGCCCACCTCTTTTGGAGGTGACCACTGTCCAGGTATCCTGCCTTGACTCTTTTCCCTTAATTGTAGCTGGTACTGATTGATCCGGTTCTGAATGAACCGGTTTCTGTGTGTGTATGTATGGTGTGTGTGTATGTATGTATGTATGTATGTATGTATGTGTGTGTGTGTGTGTGTATATATATATATATATATATATATATTTCATAGATCAGGAAGGACAGGAAGGGCAGGAAATACTGGTGTGGCTGTAATGCTTTATGATCCTAAGAGGTCCAACATTACTAGGATAGAAAGAGAATCTGGTGTCAAGTTTGAGCATATAGCTGCTCCACAGCCATCTGATATTGCTAAAGCTATGGGAAAAGAAGCTGCAGAGCAAATTGAAGGAATGTCTGATAGTGTAATACCTCCTTTCAAGGATGCTGCTGAGCATCTCCTAAAGACCTCTGCTTTATCACCAGCAGATTTGCTTGCAAAGGCACTGGCAAAGGCTGTTGGATATACTGAAATCAAGAGCCGGTCACTCCTTACTTCCTTGGAGAACTGTGTTACTCTACATCTTCAGAGTGGAAGACCCGTCTACTCACCTTCTTTTGTGTATAATGTCTTGAGAAGGTTCTTACCTGAAGAGACAGCTGAGTCAATCAAAGGGCTGACTTTGACAGCAGATGGCAAAGGGGCAGTCTTTGATGTGTCCACGGAAGATGTAGAAACATTCTTGGAGGGTTCAAAAAAAGTATATGATGCAAAGCTAGAAGTCGTAAAAGAATTGCCTCCCCTTCAAGAAAGGGAACCGGCACCCCGTGGAAGATTTGGTGGCAGTGGTGGTCGTTTCTCTGGCGGTGGGAGGAGTTGGAGAGGCGGAAGAGGTGGCGGCGGCGGCGGCAGTAGGGGTCGCAGATTTTGAAAGAACCAAGATGCAGGTGGCAAGTCAACGTAGATATCGGTCTACATCGATCAGAAATTTTTGGATTGAAGAAAGTATTTTAGTTTATGGACAATGAAGAAAAGTGTAAAACTAGACCAAGCTATAGCTATATATATAATTATATATACTTAAAATTTTGGAATTACAAACCTTTCTCGTTTCCCATTTGTATTGGAGTGATTTACTCTAGTCAATTTATTTGGAAATGTTTGTTGAAATATATATATATATATATAAGTGTTACCCATTTTGACTAAACTTGAAATTAAGGGATGGACAATTTTGTGTTGACTTTCCAAAAATACCCCTGATGTGATGGGTAAAAGTAGGATGTGATGTGTAGATTATTAGGAAAAAGGTATGATGTCCGTCAAAGCACCGCACTAGTTTTGGCAAACAACTCTTTCCAATATGATTCACTACGAGATTTCACAACGGCTATCTCGAACCGTTTACAATGAAGATTTAACGGCTATCTTCTACCGTTCCCCCAAGGATTTCAAAGGCTATCCTTGAACCTTACCCAAGGATTTATATGGCTATCCTTGACCGTTACAACGTGAGAATTTAACGGCTATTCTCGACCGTAAGAAGGTGTGTTTGAAGAACACAAAAGAGGATTCTACACAACGGCTAGAATATAAAAATGAAGAACAAAACTTAGCCGGTGTAGAAGGAAATTATATACTCTCTCAAAAATACAATTCAAACTTATGAATATGAGAGTATATAACTAGAAACACAAGCTCAAAGTGTGTGTATAAAAATCAAGAATTTAAGGCTCTTAAAATAGCCAAAATATTGAAAATGATTAATAAAATGATGAACACACTTAGAATAAAAAGAGAGGATGTTTAGAGCTTTGTTTCTTAAAGAAATATGAAGGATTAAGCTTATATTTATAGTGGAAGATGTTAATTAGCCGTTGGGAGGTGATTAGGGTTGATTTAATTTAAATTGGCAATTTGCTACAGTGCTGTAACGGATCCGGTACCCTTCACGGTAGGGTTTGTACCATCCGGTACCTAGGTACCGTGACCCACGGTATAGCCTACTGTTTGGGGGTACCGTGTCTTCCAAAAGTTTGTTTCGCCTCTGGCGGTACCTGGTTAGGACGGGTTCGGCCAACCGTCTATGCCTACCGTCGGTACCTAGGTACCGTTACACGGTATGGGGGTACCGTGTAGGCGGTATACCCTACCGTGTGGGGTACCGCTAGGGGTACCGTGACTCTGTTCTGATTTTTCCAAAATTCCCTTAATCCTTCGTGTTTGAGTTTAAAACCATTTAGATATTTGAAAATGTTTATGTGATGGTTTTAAAAATATTTTGTGAGTACTTTTGAGCTTGTGAATATAGGTATATAAAGTCATATCCTTACATTGGTTTCTACCTATATTCTACGCTAGTTTAGTGTTTCGACTTCATTCTTGAGTACTGAATCTTTATGGATTCTTGTTTTCCTGAAACACTTAAACAAACGTTAAGCTCTTATATTGTTTGTTAACATCAAAACATGAGGCTTAGCAAACCAAGGCTAACATTAAGGATGAATAAAAAATTATTTCTCAAAATTAACCTGCTAAAACTAGGGTTGAGTGCATGTAAAAAGTATGTTGCTTCAATTAATCATTTTTACAATGTAAAGTTTGATAAGAAAGACTCCGAATTTATTTCTAGTTCTCACGATGGTGGAACCTGTATTTTTGGTTGAAGTTGTTTTATTGTAACACACTTTTTGGAAATTGATATATTTGTGTATAATATGTGCTTGAATAGTACAAGAGATCCACCTCCCCTTATATATACAAAGGAGGGATGCAAACAAAGAAACAAGAATAATAAGGAATCCTATACAATTAAGGGACCTACTAAGTATATAAATCTTATTAAATATGAAAAATATTTAAGATGCTTCCGTCTACGTTGGCGATGAGCGAACTCCAAGATATTACCGAAAATTTGTGAAAAGAAGAGATGGTAACCCTTTTGTGAATATGTCATCGAACCGGGAGGAGGATAGCACATGTAGGACATGCACGTGGCCAAGTGCTACTTTGTGCCGCACAAAATGAATGTCAACCTCGACATATCTGGTTTGAACTAGGTTGGACGACAAGTAGACAGCGTTGATGTGGTCACTCAAGACAATGGTGGTTTGACGAAGTGGTTGATGGAGTTCAAGAAGAAGATTGTGAGTCCAGCTCATTTCGGAAACTGCATTAGCAACAACTCGATATTCTACCTCAGTACTGGATCTGGAAGTCGTGGCTTGCCGTTTGGAGGACCAAGAGACTAGATTATCACCAGAGGTGGATTGCCGCGTGTCAAAGCATCCAGCCCAATTTGCATCAGAATAAGTGTGAAGGGAGTCAATGCAAGAGCGAGAGAGAGTGATACCGTGAGAAATAGCACCATGCAGATATTGAAGAACTCGCTTTTAAGCCATGAGATGTGTGCTCCGTATACAGGAAGGTACACCTCTGAGAGAGCATCTAGAAAGGCTGAATACCATCCTATTAGATCTATGCAACATTGATGTTAAAGTAGATGATGAAGATGTTGCTCTAATTATGTTGGTATCTTTGCTCTTATCTTATGAGAATTTTGTGGAGTCTTTTATTGTTGGAAAAGATAGTCTATCTCTAAGTCCGCTATAAGGAATCCGGTTCTAGTTTAAAAGATCAAGCATCAGGGTTATCTGTTACTCGAAGTTTGGAACAAAGAAAATTTGGTAGAAGGAATTCAATTTCTAAGGGTCGTAAAGCTGATGTGGTTTGTCATTACTGTATGGAGAAAGGACATTGGAAAAGCGAGTTTCCAAAGAAAAAGAGGCAACAACGAAAGGAAGAAAGTTCTACTGACCTGGAAGAAGTTGAGACGAACTCTGAATAAGATATATTTCTAATTGTCAATAACCAAACACATTGTAAGGATGTGTGGGTTCTCGACTTGGGGCGTCATATCATATTAGTCCATATAGGGAATGGTTTTCAACTTATGAGCAGATAGATGAGGGTGATGTTTCCATGGCCAACGGAGTTGTCTGCAAAATAGTTTGAATAGGCTCCATCAGGTTGAGGACTCATGATAGTACATTCTGCACCTTGAATGAAGTTACGCATGTTCTGACAAAAATCTGATATCCTTGACTCGTCATGCTAGTAAGGGTTTCAGTTTCAAAGGTAAAGGTGGAGCTATGAGTGTCTATAAGGATTCAAAGGTGGTTCTGAAAGGTATTAAACATGGTACCTTATATCTTCTATAGGGATCTGTTGTTGTTGCATCATCTGAGATTCATAGAGGTGATGAAAGTCTCGATATTAAGGTGGAGATTATTCTATATGTAGAGATTGAGACTGTCGATCACCTAGAGGAGTCAATTGTATCTGTTTTAGTGCCTCAGTGCGGCGATTTGCGCCCTAGGATGGGCAATTTGGGCCTTGGGAGGGGCACTCCGGGCTTCAGGAGAAGCCATTTGGGACACTGGGTTGTGTAATCTAATTTTGTTCAGGTTCTTTTAAGAGTCATCTGGACTCTTGGTGGAGTTTGCATCTGTTGGTGTTTCAACTTGAGTTATGTAACACCCTCCGACTCGTGATCTCGGTTCACCGCGACCCGACGAGCCAAAGGGGTTACATAGATGGTATTAAGGACAACACTATACGCTCAGCATAAATTGAGTCGTAATCTAGCAATAGAAAACATAGTAATAGTCCTTATAGGTATACACATAGTCATACCTTTACTTAACGTACGAAATTCATATAATGACCAAGTGATTCACGTAATGAACAAATGTACCATGCTTGTACTTGAAGTACGGAAACCTCATAATGACTACATGATGTACGATGCATGAGTTAGTCGTGCAGGGACCCTTTGCGCTCCGATGTCATCCCACGAAGGCGATGAGTCGCGCCTACCTTAGTCTCTTAACGAGACTAGCAATAATGGGTGGTAACTAAAAGCTTGATTACAATGCACGTACACAAAGCCTTCCAAATGAAACCCGTTGGACCCGAAGGCTCCTAGACGGGCCCGCTATAAGAGGCGCACTAGGCCTGACCCCTTAAGCGGTACTTCCATGATATGAACGATTCATATATCATGCGTCCATGTCATGCGTGATGTGATGAATGATGACACAATTTGGAATTTAGACCATTAATACATCACACAATATAGCATACATTCAATAGGTAATGTCCATGATGTTATTTAGTAAAGTATTCGTGCTCAGTCAGGTCAAGGTGAACAAAACAGAGTTTTTGTATGGTCTCTGGTCACAGTACGGTAGGCAGACGGTAAACCGTCCCGTGACAGACAGGGTGACCATGGTAGACGGTAGGTCGTCCGTGGCAGACGGTATGCCGTCCCGTACAGACGACCTTAGTGACAGTCCCGGCAGCATGTTGACGTTTTTGGTCCATTTTATAGTTTTATGTCTTGATTTTTTCAATACATGAACATAAACACATAAGGATATTTTTCCTATGATTTCTAGATGCTATTCACCAGATTTTTAGTCACAAAACAACATAGCAAAGATTCTATGTTTATATGGATTCAGCGTAAGTTTTGTCGGGTAAATCCTATGAATATATCTATATTGAATATGACTATGATTACTAAAGCTACAGGGGGCAACGTACTCACCTGTAGAGCGTGACGATCAATTGACGAAGACGATACGAACTGCGCTACAAACGGCACCACGTCTCACGAATGATAGAATGGACTTCCTCCTCCTCTCTTCTTCTTTCTCTCTCGCTAGAGTCCTCCTTCCCCGTCGCCGCTGCTGCTCGTCCAAGTCAACGGGGGAGGGGGATAGTTGGGAGTTGAGTGATTGTGGTGGAGAAAACAAAGAGAAGGAAAAAGGAAAGGGGGAATGAATATAATGAAGACATGTTGGTGATGAAATCAAGGCAAATGGGGAGAGGGGGGGGGGGGGGGTGAACCAACACATGGGAAATTAGGGTGAAGTTTCTAAAGTGACTCTGTAATTAAAATCTAACCTGAACGTGCCCCAAACTTCTCCGAATCGAAAACTATTTGCGTTTCTGGAATCAGACAATCAAAATTATTATTATGACGTAATCAAATAATTTTTCTAAAGACTTTATTTTCCGAACCTCGTTCCATATTAGTAATTAATTAATTAAATTAACCAATTCTAATAGGCCGGGTTTCAGGGCGTTACACCAGTAGTATATCGGTTAGAACCTCCACCAAAACTGAAAAAGATCCACAATGTATTCCACATGTCAATGTTAAAACATTATCGTTCTGACCCATAGCATATCGTGACTGATGGAACGATTACCGTGTCGTAACACCTAAAAATTAATTTATTATTTTACTTAACTTAAATCCCCCATTTATGAATTTATATTCATCAAAACATATAAATAGGGCATGTAAGGGTCGATCCCATGAGCAAAGATACTTTCTAGGCTATGAAAATTAGTTCACTTGTCACTTTTATTGAATAAAAACAATGAACTAAAATCTAAAAACTAAACCAAAGGATATGGAGGGGGTTTGAATGATAATTCTAAAAAAAAGATAAAAACATGCAAATAAAATAAAGATAAGGATGGCAGATAAGAGAATAAACCACAACAGCAACAACTTGAACTGAGAAGAACACTCAGGGAAAGAACAAACACACAAAACAACCACACTTTTGAATTTTATAAAACTTAGACATAGTTATTAACTTTAACCATTTTGAAAATACTTATAGTTTTTAATAGAAAATAAAATGAACCAATCTGATTAACTAATTAATTATGCCTGGATTCTAAAATTAAACTGGTAATGTAAACTCAGGGTTAGGCAGAAGAAGTGGTCCACCAACGATTCTTCCCTATTTTCTCATTCATATTAGCTCATGTTAGGACAAACCCTAACTCTAAACCCTACTACCCTTAGCAACCCAAAGACCAACTCTTAAGTTACTACTAAAAATAGCGCATTAAGATTTGTGGAAAATATCACCACAACAACTTTGCAGTAACACTATGGTTATTTAACAAAATCAGTTTGGGAACCTTTATTAGCAAAAACCACTTGATGAGGCAGCGAAGTACTAATCAAGTGACACTTGGTTTCTACAAAAGTTCGGCTATTTAAAGCACTTTGGACTTTAAAAAAATGTCATTTTAAACTGGATTAGGCACGCGTTCCTAGTTTGGTCCAATTTAAGTAAAATCTAGTTCTCAGAACAGCTTTTCGATTTTAGATTTAACAGTAGCATAGACCTAAAATCTCTTCAAGGTCAAATTAATCCAACAAGAACAACCAAATCAAAAATCGAATTCTTTTTTGTCAAACAATAATTTAGCCTAAGAAGATTTTATAATTTCAAAGACAATAATAAATCAATAAACCATACTTGAACAATTCAATATCAACACACAAACAATTCAACACTTATAATATAACTTAAACATTCAACAAACATAAAATTGAAACTAAACATATTTAAATTAATACTAGAATTCAAGTTTTGGAAACCAAATTCCAACAATTCAAAGCCTTTTAAAAGAATAGAAATCATCCTAAATAGGACTAAAACATAGAGAAAAGTACCAAAATAGGACTTTCATGTTTTTTTCTTGGAATAGGACTTTGTACTGTGGTAATGTTACTTTCCATTGTGGTAATGTGTCAGTGTATATGTGCAAATTACTATACTTTTTTGGTAATGTATATGACCATGTTTGGTAATATAAGTTCTATTTCGGGAATAAAAACATGGAAGTCCTATTTTGGTATATTTTCAATGTTTTAGTCCTAGTTTGGTCTTTCTTCCTTAAAAAATTTTTAGGGTCCGTTTGGTATAAGGAATTGGTGGAATTGGAATTGAATTGGAATTGTAATTGCATTGGATTCAATTCCATAGAATTGAATTCTATCAATTTCAATTCATTTTTTGCACTATCAATTCCAAATCTACATAATATTTGTGCTACCAAACACTAGAATTGAAATTGAAGTACCCAATTCCAATTTCATAGTTTGAATTCCATGTACCAAACGGGGCCTTATAGAAATATTACGGAGAAAGATTTAAAAGGAAAAGAAAATGCTTCCCTGATTCTTCTTTGTTGCCCGCTCGGTTCACAAAGGCCAGAGATGCAGAAAACACAGCACCACCGCCGGACCTAGTTGTCAGCGTTGCTATTCCGGTCGTCGGACTTCGCCGTGCCGAAACTAGTTGTCAGCGTCTCTATTCCGGTCGTCGGACTTCGCCGCGCCGGACCTAGAGTAGGAACCTAGGTCGGCTCCTCTCTCTTCTGTTCTGGTCTCCGTATTCGCCCCCCTTTAATCTCATCTCTATATCTTCTTTTTATAATTGAATTTAGAAGAGATTGAATTGGAGAAGAAACTCTATGCAATCCACCTCTTGTCACTTCTGGTTTTTTAGGTCTGGGAGCAACACGGCTTGTCTTCCTTGATTTCTTTTAATTTTTGTTTCTAAGGAGTGTATTCAATTTAGATTTTATAAGATTCTGATTGTTTAAGGTCTCTTAATTTTGTAAAATCAATGGATTGATAAAAGTTTATGCATAGTTAGCTAAATTTCATTGTATTTTATCAACGGATTTCATAGGATTCTAGTAGATTGTTTATAATCCATGGATTATTTATTCTTTTAAATATTCATACATTATGCTAACATTAATTATATTTATGAAATTGAACAAAAACTTAAACTAAAAATAATATATTAAAATAAAAATAAATTATTTTTTAAATATTATTATCATTATTATAAATTTATTAGCACAAAATAATATATGAGTATGTACCATAAAAATATAATACAATACTACAATTCTAAAGCATATGAACCATGAGAAGATATTAAACCTAACATATTTTAAAACAACTTAATAATAATATGCAAGTATCCAAAAACAATTTAATAAACTAGAGTACTCTTAACTCTCAGCAAAAACAAAGTCAAATAAAACATTTAAAATAAAATCACATAATCCTTCCATTCATCCTAATATATCTTCTCATTTTATCCTCTCATCTTGTGGTGTATCCAACTTAACCGTTCTTCTCATTTTCTTTGTGTTTGATCCAATTCTCTCTCCTTCAGTTTTAGCTCTAAAAAAGAGAAAATTGCTCCTAGGTACCCCATATTTTGAGAAACTAACTGCCGGGTACCTCATATTTTTAAAATATACTCCGAGGTGCCCTCTACTTTTAGAAACTAACTATCGGGTACCTCGCATTTTTAAAATATACTCCGGGGTACCTCCAAATATACATTAACTTACCCAAAAGGGACATTCTGTTTCATTCGAAAGCTTCGATTAAACTCGATAGATTGTATCATTAAAGTATAAAAACTAAGGTTATTTTTGGAATTCCAAACTTCTAATTCTTAAAATTAATGGCGTAACTGGCTTTGACGAAAAGTGAGACGGGATGTCCTTCATGTTGGAATGCATGAGTTCAACCCTTTCTGTGTTGTTAAGTGTTGACTCACAGGTTTTGATAATTGACAAACACAATTTATTCAAGTCAAGATCAAAATGCTACAACGACAAACACGAAGACTTGAAGTGCCATTCTTTGAAGTATTCAAGAAGGTGAACAGGATTTTATTGAAGTCCGAGACGCATTCGGAGCGCCTAACGGAGGACTCGGAGGAGTAGAAGATTTCTGAA